CGAGCAGAAAATTCGCGCTCGACGAGGTATACCGGTTTAATGAGAGCCATGAAATCCACATAAAGGACGTGCAATTATGAGGTACCGTTGAAAAATTGGATATGACATTGACACAAGTGGGCGGAATTCATTTTGAACAACTGAATGCGGCGAAAACTGAGCCCTCGAATAGTCGATAATGAAAAGAATGAGCGTTCTTGCAAGCTTTCCATAAGACTAAACATTATTTAGGTTTTTCAGTCTTCCCAATGCAAAATTGTCTACAGTATTCATGATAGATCACGATTTTGGGAAGTTGAAAGCATGGTATTTCTACCAAAAAGAATCTTTAATATTAATTATCATTGATAAATGGAAATGTTTTCTGCTAGCCAACCGTTGCACACTTGCGACTCTTATCATCATACGGTATCCAGTCGACTGTTCCTCTACCAAGACATTCAGCTTTTCGACGACGCTCGAATAACCTATAAAAATTTCATCATAGACCGGATTCCAACAATAAAGCGACGATATGAAACTGGCTCCGTAATTATGAAGCCAATTAAGTTGAAAAAAGTTTTAATAGTGCAATATCTTTTCGACGAGTTTTCATATATGGAGGTAATAAATAAAGCTCTTTCACGCCACCTCAGCTCATCCTCCTCTTCTGGAGTGAGTCTAGAGCAATATCGTGGATCTGAGTCTTGTGGTGGAAGCTGATAGCGTAACTGTCGTAGGCGCCACTTCTCTCCAGCGCTATTTACGTATGGTACTTTTTCCTCGGGCAGTGTCGCGAAATACATATGAATCTGAACTAATTGTTTTTAATCAAGCGCTAATGAAAGGCAGTACTCATTGCCTTTCAGAGGTAACTAAATTAGTAACGATCAAACCCGTCGGCAGGAAACTATCGTGTTGTCTTTATATCACTCTGGTAGACATAAAATTTCTGAACATTATCTGATGAAGATGGAAGCTCTTTGCTTGCTTTTTTTCATTATGTTCTTCATAAGGACATCTTCGATGTATCGAATTTCAACAGAATTATATCAGATGTGAATTATTTTTATTCTGCGCTTTTAGTACTCAGAAGGACAGAATGAATGATGTAGGTACAGCTAAAGAGATCAACACGGTGTTCCGCCAAATCTCAGTTAATCAACGTCCTATCCTCAGCATCTAACAAACTGAATTTCCGCCAACGACCAACCTAATATTCAAACTCACCATATTCGGCTTAAGACCGCTGGGTACCCATGCGTATTCTTCGAAAACACAACCAGAATCATCGTCGCTGGTTGAGTGACGGTGGATGTCCGCAGCGATTCTGAGTCTTGACGCCGGTGATAGACCGCCATCTTGACGCGGCATGCGCATTTCTCGACTGCGACGACGTCGCGCTCGATCGGTCATTTCCAGAAAAATCCTAAACTGTGTCAACGATTTTCATTTGAATTGTGCAACTAATTGCTGAATTATATTCAGGATATCCTCAAGATTGCAAGGAGACTCGCTCAACCAGTATTCTACGACGTTCAGGAAGAAGACGAGTAAACGATTTGATTATTAGGAATACTGAAATCCGCGCAAAGGAAAAAAAAACACGGTGAAAACGGACCAATAAAGTGTCTAAGGAAGTTGCTGGATTTCTGACAACAACGACAGTGAGAGTTTTTCGAAGTCCAACCTCAAGTTTAGGCTCAATAGTCAACTTCTTGAAGAGTTCAACGGAGCTCAGGTTTAGCAAGCCAATCAGATGTGGAGCTCCGTTACAGTTTTTGTTATTTTAGCAAATAAAACACTTTTCGTCGCCACAGGAATGATTCTTAGCATATCTATGACAAGCACTGCTGCGAAATTTGTGGTTGTGGGAATATAAGAAAGTTTCAAAAGCCTCCGTGATTTTTCCCGTTTACTTGTGATGCTGTATCGGACCACTTACGGCATTCCGAAATCGTTGAGTCGGCATGACTTAGAGAGTGGCATAATGGAGGTGCAAGCATAATCACAACCACAAACGGCGCAAAATATCTGGCGGTTCGAGGAGATTCAACGAGATTAGTCGCTCAGAAGGACCACTTGAGAAACGAAAACAGTGACGAAGTTAAAAATGACATTTGAAAGAAATGAAAACGTTGAGAAATGAAAAAGATGTAGGTTTTCCAAAGATTATTCTCATCGCTGACATTTAAAACGATTCATAATTGTTATACTGAATAATGTACGTGTTTCCAACTTTATTTTCTCCTCTCCATGCTAATCAAGACATAATCAGTTTTTCAATAGACTGCAATAACAAAATGAGCTGAATTTTTGTATATTCATTAATTTGTGAAGGCAGAACTTTAGAAGTCACTAGCGAAGAATGCGTAAATTCCTGATCACTGTAGTGACTAATATGAGATTTAATAGAATCTCAACACTCATTAGGGCAGCTGGCTTCAGAAATTAATGGCCCATTTACAAGAGAGCACGACTGAATAAAATCACATAAAAGAAACTAGAACTACTAATACAGGATCAAATGGGTTTAATACTTTGACGATGAGTTTCGCCGAGAAAAAGGGAATGATTGGCTTGGAAAAGAATCTCCTAGTCAAGTAAAAGAATCGATTGATAGTCCAGCAATATGTCACATATAAGGAAATGTGTTTTATTTCTGTGAGGCAAAAGTACTGATGTTATGGGATGCGTAGGATTAATCAATTACAACGGCATGATACCGTATAAAAATAGCCATTTAAATCATTAGGAGAATCTAGAAGTCCTTTCCCTCTTTCGTAATCATAGTGCTAGAGTGAATTCACAGCGTCAAAATCATGAATCGGAAGGAGGCTAGGAAAATATCTGTGTCCACAAAAGGTCAAAGGCTCTGCTTGTGCTGAAGAGGAGGAGGAAAGGCGATGAGTCGATTAGGCAGCGATGTGTTTCCTCTTGCATCTGTGTGATAGTGGAAGAAAGGCAAATATTGGTAGAGGTCAGGCGACGATCTTAGCCGCTATCGAGAACGAGGAAGCAAAGGTGGAACCGTGAGAGCCTGGCGTGTAAGTTTGACTTAGAGAAGCCGCCCATCATTCGACAATTACATTATGTCTGATATTTTTCCTTTTAGGAAAAGGTAGAAGCTAGACCAGATTAGTGAAAAATCTATTGCGCTGATGTAAATGACGATAATATCCAAATGAACTTATTCATCTGGGCTGAAGATTTTCTTTAGGTAAAAAAGGTAATTATGAGAAAGGAACTAATCAACTGAAGGATTCGAAAAGCAATCATCAATGAATTAGAGTCCACTGAATTGTTATCCAAGGCCAAAGATTCCATTAAGATGTTGGAATATGCAAATATGACAGAAGATAAGATTTGAAATTGCAACGCCAAAGTGTTCTCAGAGGACTCTCGTAAGCGATAGGCGTTCAAGTCCCTGTCCCAGCGGGACTTAATAATTACCTTCTAATTTATTTCTCTCTTTCCACAAAACGCTACTACATGAAGATCAGTCTCTTTCGAGTTCTCAACGATTATTTCGTTTTAGTTCCTCGGCAAATCAGTGGTTAAGGCAAGAGAGAGGTTCGTACAGTCTCCATAATGAATGAACAAATAATTCATTCCATTCGTACACCGCTTCTGTCCATCGGTGCTGTGATGCCAGCAATCAATTTCACATCTTACTGTACACCTTTTCATCTAAATTCATACTATTTAACTTTATATCCTGCCTGTTAAGTTCTGAATAAAGTACTTTTTATGACATGAAAAATATTAGATAGGGGTAAAGACCGAAAGAGTAGAGATAATAGAAACGCGAGATATTCCTTCGAGGTCAATCAGTGGAGATGTAGAAAATTACAAAATATGAATAGTAGAGAAAAGAGTTAGAAAAATATCGACACATATGGGACGAAAGCAAAATGTGTGTTAACGGAGATTGTTCAAAAAATCCTGCATATAAATGTTTTTGGAGAAGTAAGAATGGTTTAAAATCACTGTTGGCGCTGTTAATTAAGCCATTTTTTTCGCTGTCCAAAAGAAACAACTCATCAAAACAAAAAGTTGTTGTATATATTAAGTGATTTTTTTTCATAAAACATTACGACTATTAGCTGACCAAAGAAAAAAAGTGAGGTTTTAATAGAAGCGCCACGATTAAATGACGGAAGATGGTGGTAGAAGAGATTATGAAGGAGATTAATGTGATGGAAGACGGACTGAGAGCAAGACAAAGTGGTGTTCGTACCGATTAGCTGACCACAAAGAATTCCACCCTCCCCCCAGGAAACGACCAAATTCAGAACCAACTACCAACAAAGATCAACATAAATCATTTCCCGAGGTGTATTTACATGCAGAAATAACGGTAATTGGAGATGAGAAGAACGCTTTACTTTGCTTGCTTCAGTGGAAAGATGTATATGCTTTTGCATTTTTATGCGGAAATTATGATTATAACTTCCTTCAAAACATAGCATTTACTCGCAAAACCAGCTCTAACACCTGTGCAATTGTTATAAAATAAAGCTCGTTCAAGTAGTAGTTAACACACATTGTTTTTGGTAGTCAAAAAAGTCACAAGATGCTCTGAGAATTACGTGAACTAGTTTAGAGATAATATTTCAGGTTCCCGATGGTAGGCGTTTTTTATATCAGTCAACTCAAAAAGAACTTAAGATTCACGATCGTTACAACAATGACATAACAAGAGGTAGTGAGCGAAAAATTTGCAACTCATGACAACAACCCCTAGGAGACGTTTGAGAGACATTAAGATGAATGTTTCATGACTTACACGGAAAATGAATGGGCCACATAGAACCATATTACTGTAATGCTTCACGGCTGTGTTGAGGATGAGAAAACAAGCATGCTGTCAGGGAAAGAAAAAGAGATTATGTTCATGCTTTCAAACTTCATCATTGTATTTCAAACTGATATATTAACAATTTAAGAACTGAATATGTGGAGTGCTGTGCAAAAACGTTATAGCGTTATAGCGTAAATAAGAGTGCTGTGCAAAACGAGCGTCAGTAGTGCAACGGTTAGCATACGCTTCCGGAAAGGAGTGAGATCTGGGTTCGAATCTCGGATGACGCAAACGTTTTTGCACAGCACTCCACAGATTGGGTATACTGTAACATCATACCATTGCAAGTGGCAGTCAAAATAGACAGAATTTAAGAACTCTTTGATGAATGTCGCTTATCAACTTCCTTACCAAATTATAATTACCGTTATTGCCGTTACAGGGCATGAAGTGATTGAATGCGCACAGTTAGGTGTTCATCTAATTTTGGAAGCGTAGATCAAATGATAGGCACAATAGAAGTTATAAGAGAAAAAGAACCATTGGAAGAAATGCTTTTGTACATTACTTTAGACCGACTGTAATTAAAATTTTGGACATAAGTGAGATTTTATATGAAATACAAAAGAGGACAGCTGTACATTTGTAGAAGATTCTGAGACGGTAAAGGCAGTGTGGATTTTGTTTCCACTGCAACGAGCATCTGGTAGCCTTGCATCCCGCCCACTTGCACGAAGAGGGGCGGGTGGGTGGAAATTGTTGGTAGAGAGAAGGCCGTCGCCAGTACGATTTCGTCGGCTGCAGTGCCAACCATGACAGTCCGTTCGAGAGTTACGCAAGATTCGGAAGCGTTCGAGCTAGGAGTTTTTTGATAGTTCCAGGGATTTGCCAAAAGGACTGCGATGATAATCAGCATGGTTCTAAATCAAAATGGAACTATGGAACTGTAAGATCCTCTGATCTAATAGCTTTCTCACTTTATTCAAAACTAGTGAATGTGCTAGACAAAAGGCGAAAACATGAAACTTCTAAAAAGACGGGCAGATGTGAGAATCTACGGTAATTTTGTCATAGAACGTCCCTTCAGAAGTAATCGTAAAACGAATATTATTGAAAAGGCTTTGAAAATGGTGTAATTACATTACCACGTGCTATAACCGTAATGCCCCCATCCCTCCTATAAAGTAAGGTTCAGTGTGGGTGTTTGGCTCTGATGAAGTGGGAGATACCGACGAAACGTACGTAAGCCACTAACTACCAACCTCAAAAAACTCCAAGCATTCTCCCAGACTAACTTCAGTCATTTTCGGTTTCCAAACAAGAAATCGAGCCATTCCAACAGCCTCTATTGCTTTCTAACGAAATCTATCGTCACTGTTACTATTAATATCATTATTATCATTGTTATTATTGTTATTATTATCATCATCGATCTTATTTTCCATAGAATACACTATCTTTTAAAATTGCAATTATTTATCATCAACTATTGGGGTCTATCATAATTATGCTCGCTGCGATTGTTCACTAGTAGAAATAATTACTAATTATTATTATTTACTAGCTATTATTACTCATTATTATTACTAGTAGTAGTAACCTTAGTAATAGCATTAAAATTAGTCTTACCAATGTTCTCAGTCCCATCTATAGCTTCAATCTTAGTATTAGAGCTTGGTATTCTCTGTTACGAGAGTACAATATTGTTTGTTGACTGAGGACGTGAGGGAGACGGCTACCTCGTCGGCTTGTCATTTATGGCAGGGGACGATCGACGTAATGATGCGCCAACCTTGGCCATCTTATCTCAACGGTTGACCCAAGACGTCGACTGATGAAAGCAGTTGACCGCTGACCGCAATTAGAGGGATCAGATGAGCGCTCGGACATCGTGGACTACTTCGTCTACCACTTAGATCTCACCGATGTCTCCTGTGCAGACAACGTCAGGCAACAAGCATTGAGTCATTTGTTTTACGGAAATTGGACCATTTTGAGCATAATTGTAGAGGAAGAATTGATGAAAAAGCTTTATTAACTTAGTATTTGGCAACGTTCAGAAACGGTATCGCAGTTGATCATTTTTGATTGAAACAAATGACTTGCGAAAATTTAGACAATCTTTGTAAATCAACAAAGAAAACTTGATGGAAAAGTTTCCCCTCGTTTCACCGCGATTTCAAACACAAAGTGTAAACAGCTCAAAAAAGCTAAACATGTGACTTCAAAAATATGAAAAGCTACAAAAAATCTCGTATTTAGACGAAGAATAATCTTTGAAGACTGAAGGATTATACATAACGAAGATTTTTTGATGTCAGTTTGATAGCTGACTTCCAATTTTTATGAAGGGTGAAAGGGATAAAGCTCTCCATCCCTGAGACATGCGACATGAATTCGGCTTCAATACTATCGTTATAATATTTGTATACTTATTACGCCTATGCAACGACTTTGGGTGGTCCACCGATCTGTCACATCAGTGCTTCTATCCCCCAGACTAGTTTTATATCAGTTCTACGCGGAATGGAGAATCAAACCACCAACAATGTGTTTAATACGGAGCACCTCTATCCACTGCACTTCCCCCTTTCGTTCAAAATTCATACATGGCTTGTATAATCAACTGCGTAACTTAACCAGGAATTTGCTGCACTGGAAAGAGCAACTGATGATGAAGTGTAAGATTTTTTATTTTTGGATTGAAATTATTTCAGCATAGCCTGGACCGATTTAATAATTTTGCATGTAAGTGTTGCAAAATCAAAAAACCTACTTTTTAGTGAATTTCTTTTTAGTGGTGATCTTTGTTAGCACTGATACAAGTAGTGTTATAAAGCCAAATTACTCAACGGCGGGTTGAAGGTGAGTAATCGTCTATTACTGCCACTGAAATTTCAAACGATGTAAATTGATGTGTTAAAAAATCGTTTAAAAATCCTAAAAAGAATTCACCCAATCATCAAAATCTTTCCGAGCCTACAGATAAAGATCTTTGTGAACGCAGACGATTTGGAGATTTTTGTTTTGTTGCCCTTATCAAAGGTGCCCCATAGAATCATAAAATGGCTTTGAAGCACAATCGCCTATATATTTCCAGAAAGATCGGATTCCAGAATGGAACGATGTCATTCCGCTGAGAATCGTGTTGTGGACTTATACAACTGATTGGCAGATAAGATTGCAACGCAACGTCATTGAAGCAATCCGCAGATATTCATCAGGCGATTAGATGTTCTACGCCTAGGTCGCTAGCACTATTTCAACTCTCTTTTATCCCCAGTTTTTTCTTCCTGAAAACAGTTTTTGAGATTTTGCTACTGGTTTTTTTTGTCAAAATATTTCTATCTTTGCGAAGAAGCCATCGTGTTAATGTTTGAGTACTATGGTGGCCTTCGGTACATTGGTAACAAATCATTGGCGAGCCATAACTCAGTGGACGGTAGTGGCGCTGAAATATATATGGACTAGAAGAAGAGTGTGTGATGCGTGGACATGATACTGTTGACGGGCGAGACAGTGAGTAGGAATCACGCGATTCCTGGAGAGAAGATGGCAGCCCGAACCACCACCATGTGTGCATGCACTGAGCACATAAATCAGAACAGCCAATGAGGCAGAGGATCAGAAACTCACCTCGACATTTAGATTCGAAACTAGTCGTAAGACTCAAATACTCGTTGTTCAGTAGTTGCGAGGAAAAGCGGAAGATGTGAGGATGACCTCAACTGAGTGATAAAGTTGGTTATCCTTGCTATGAAGAGAGTTATCAAACCTATGATTCTGATCGATAGGAGGCGAGAGTTTTAGAATTATTAAGAGAGCATCTTAACTCAATCGGCCATCGCGGATGAAATTGCAGTCTCGTTGTGGAACCAAGATTCTTGTTGGTAACCGAGGTCAAAACAAGGAAAAAAGTACATCTTGGTTTAGTAAAGTACAATGAGCCTTCGCTGAGTACTTTTTCACTTTCACGGATCTTTCTCATAAAGGAACTTCCACCTAGTTAGCATGACACCACGTCCAGAGCAGCGAATAGGAGGATAAACAAAGAACAAATGCGATCGTGTTCACCTCCGAGGGTAAGACGGATCCAGGAAATAGAGTTCATGTTTCTGGTACGCCTCTGCATTTACATAGGCATTTCGTTGATGTCCACTTATACCATTTACCCTCACCGTCTACTACTGGCACAAAGAATCGAAGAGCACTTACCAGTGGTTTAAATCGTACCTATCGTGTTCCAAAGTTTTCAGTGCATTCCGAGTCCACATGATTTGCATCACATGAAAACATGCTCAATCTTTCCCTCAAGAGCCCTAATGAAGTGACTGAGATGTTCTTGCTGTGCACTTGACATTCTATGGAACTCGCTCGCTAACGGGTCGTGTTCAACAGTTGTCGTTAAAATGAATCACCTAGTTGAACCAGATGTTTCCGAGGTGTTATGATATGATGTAATGGTCAGCGGGCTTGACGATGGTCGTAAAGCCATGTATTATTTGTTTTCATCATTACATCCCTGATTCTGTTTCATGCTCCACTCACCGGTCTTTCACCTCTACCTACTTTCTCAGCTAAGTCAACCACCTTGCCGACTTTTTGGCCCTGATGCACATGGATAAGGTACTGAACGATATTGATTTCATGAGTGTGGACGAAATATCAGGAATAAATCCAGCTCTTAAGAACGGCTTTTGAGAGTTCTCACTACAGATACTGAATAGCAGTCGAAATCAATCAGCATCCCACGACTGACTAGATCCTGATGTTATGAAGAATGACGTCGCCAACAAAGGCAATAGTAATGCATTCACCAAAAACTTGCTTTCTACTCCATGCATTTTCCTACCAGTTTCTATTCCACGTTTTCAACTTTTACGTCAAGAAGTTACTGTAACTTCGTCATTGTTGAACTCTCCTTTTTCCAAGGTCTGCTTATGACTGAAAGAAAGGCAGAGCTAGGATCTCCAGGGTGCGTTGAAAAGCCCAATGTTTTCCGGAAAGTGTAGTCGTTGGTTCGAAGCCTCAACCTCAATTCGTACTCGTATCTCAGCTCTTTTATGGTTTTGTTTTACACTGTAACTTGCTGTCAAGATTAAAATTAGGCCGTAAATGAACTTACAGATTGTATGTTACTCCTTTTTTGTGAAAAACGGTGGAAAAGTGGCAAGTTCTCTGCTCTTACGTTGCTATAGCATCGATTAAAACTTTTCACGTACATCGAATAGTATTAACTCTTCAGAGATCCTACTGCGGCTTCTGCTTCAGAATAAGTCTCGTTTGAATG